CCATCATCCACCAAGTGTGTTATTTGATGAAAATCATGCACATACACCTACATAATGTGATGTCTCCATGCATATACAATGTAGTGTACAATTACAATCTCAATCTCATGTTCAATATACTATGAATGTCATATGAACCAATTCAACCACATTGTCAACATATACCATGGCTAATTATATCCAAAGCATATAATTTTTATAAATACTCATAATGTCAATATATCAACTAGTATATATCAACATTTATATTCAACAACAATTTTCCAAGTATGTTATACATAATCTATGCAAAACACACTTAATTGCACATAGGCATTTAAATCAAATACCTGCAAAGCACCAAATCATGTAATCACATAAAATGTCCAATTTTATCACAAGTCTCAAGAAATCACATTAAGTAATTTCTACACACCCAATTAAGATAGAATTTATTCTACCCATTTTTAATACTCATTTCATCAATTTACAACAATAGGCAAGTGTTAAATGTATCTAACAACCTACCCATCTCATATAATCACCCTAGGTTGGAAATAAACCTAATTAGGATGAAAACCATACCTCTTGAAGCATAAAATAATCGTAACAAGCTCTAATCCAAGTTTTTTTCAAAATCTTTTTTTTGAAACTTTGGTGAAATACGTCCCTTTTAGTATGTTCGCATAGCCTACGATAAAGAGATCGACTTTAATTATTGGCTCGTGTTGATTCGAGCGACGGGGAGGCGTAGATCGTATAGAGAAGGTTGGAATTCTCTCTTTTTACCTCTCTTCCCTCTCCAACGTGAAGACCCAGCTGAAAATGGGGAAAAAAATCAGATTTTTCCCCCTATTTATACCCTTTAAATGCTTGGTCCACGTTGCGCCACACATCTTCCATTCCCGGGTCTGTTTTCGACCTAAAACGATTAAATTTCGTCCCGGTTCAAGTTTAAAATATTTTTATTTCAACTAACTTTAAATTATTATCTAATTTTTAACATTTTATTCCCGAATTCGTTTATGAGGTCACTCAACACCCAGTCACCTCGTAAAACGTAAAAATTTTGATGGTCTTTGAATTCGACAAAAATTGACAAGGCAACTAGATTTCATGAGATGAATCCAATTGTGAGATCTGTTTCGTCATCTGAGTTCTAGAAAAATTTGAGTTTTAAACCCTACCGAAATAACAAATTATCGTTTTACCCTTTTTCATAAAAATTCAAATTCACCCAGGTTTTACATCCACATTCCAAAATTCTTCATGTTATAGCCTCAAAAAGGATTATTGATATGTCTTAATGGTTGAATTATGTGAAAATTGTACTAGTTGTCAAAAGGAAAAAAATTGTCGCCTTCCTTTTTCTTTAAATAATAATATTGAATCTATTCTGCTGGCAAAGATTCACTTTGATTTGTGGGGAGCCGCACCTATAGTCTCTGTGCAGCATTTTAAGTATTTTGTTCTCTTTATTGATGATTGCACTCGCTTTACATGACTATACCCTCTAAAAAAGAAAGTTGCCTTCTTCAACATATTTTTTGACATTTCAAAGTTTGATAGAAAATCAATTCGAGCGAAAAATCAAAAAATCAAAAATTTTCAATGTAATGGTGGTGGTGAGTTTTCATTAACAGATTTCTTGGCACATTTGGTTGACCTTGGGATTCAACGACAACTTTCATGCCTTGGCACACTAGAACAAAATGGAGTGACCAAGCACAAACATCTTCACGTTGTTGAAACTGGACTTACCACGCTTTTTCATGCTAATCATCCAAAGCATTTATGGATTGAAGCTTTTATAACTGGAGTCTATCTTATTAATCGACTCTCATCATCTACTCTTAAAATGAAGACTCTGTTTTATACATTATATAGTTGTCATCTAGACTACACTTCCTAAAAGTCTTTGGTTGTTAGTGTTTTTCATATATATGACACAATGCCAAGAATAAGTTTGAACCAAAGTCGTATCCGTGTGTATTTCTTGGATACAACTCTTCCCATAAGGGTTATCGTTGCCTTCATCCTCTTTCTATAAGATTTTTTTTTGTCTCGTCATGTAGTGTTTGATGAATTGGTTTTTTCCATTTTCTGATCCCAGTTTATTATTTTCCACCTCTTCAAATAGTGGAAATATCTTTACTTATTCTGAGTTTTCAGATGGATTTTATCCTGCATAGGCAGCCACTCCACCCCCTACATTTTCCCTCTTTAGGAGTCTCTAGCACACCACATGAAATCTTAATTGAAGCTCCCTTGCCATATGACCTGTGTCTTCTTCCAGATTCGCCACTTGTTGCACCAAATTCTGTATTTTGCCCAGCTGTCCAAGCACCACCTGATCTAACCAATGGAGATCCATCGACAATGGTGCCTTGCAATGTTAACAATCATATCAGCAGCCCACTGTTTGGTACACACAATTATGCTTCACTTGGGAAATCCACATCTGCCACCACAAGTCCTCATGTTCTAGAGTACTTATTAGACTCCATGTCACTTAAGTCTTCCACTTCATCGCTGGCAAAAGTACTAGGGACTATCCATATTGATCTTCCCTTTGATCATATACTGTCCACTTTCTAGCCTAGAAGCTCCTCCATTTTGACTAATATTCATCCAATGATTTTAAGAGGGAAAGCTCATGCTCATCAATCACTTTTCACTCTTCTTCCCATTGATCCTGTAGAATCCAAGAGTCTAAAATCAGCACTTCAATGTCCCCATTGGATGGAAGCAATGCATGATGAACTTGCAGCATTTCATCATAATAAAACTCGGACTTTGGTTCCTCATCAACCTCACATGCACATTATTGGATCTCGTTGGGTTTTTAAAACCAAATTAAAATTCAACAGATTCATTAAACGCTTTAAAGCTTGATTAGTTGCTAAAGGATACAATAAGTTAGCTAGTATTGATTTTGATAAAACCTGTAGTCCTATCATCAAACATCCAACTATTTAGCTAGGTTTTGTCTATTGCTCTATCACAAAGGTGGCCTATTCGTCAACTTGACGAAAAAAAATATCATTCTCCATGGTCAACTCAAAGAGGTCGTTTATATAGACCAAGCCCCGAGCTTTGATGATTTTAACTATCCTCATCATGTTTGTTGTCTTCACAAGGCTCTTTATGGCCTCAAACAAACTCTTCGAGCTTGGTTTGATCACTTTAACATTTTTCTTCTTCAAATGGGTTTTATCTGTAGCAAGGTGAACTCATCTCTCTTTATTTTCAGAGCTACTGATATTATTATTCTTTTATTGGTGTATGTTCATGACATTATTGTCACCTATGGGGAGGGGGAGAATTCAATGTGCATGGTTAAGAGAGGGATATTTGGTGGCGGTTGGATGAATCTATTTGAGACACTCAAATAGACTTATTAAAGTTTTTTCTATTTTATATTATAAAATTATAAAATTATATTTATTATCTATAATCTATAATATAAAAAGAGTTATATTATCACATAGGTTTTAATAAGCTCTTCTGAGTATCTCAAATAAACTCATTCAACGATCATCAACATCTTCTCCAAACCATTCACATTAAATTTCTCCCCCCACCCGCCTAAAATCAAGAAAATATTTATTACAATAGTAATGTCATATGACAATGTGATATAATATCATAAACCAATAATAAAATCTTAAATAAGCAAATGGACCCCATAAAAATTAATAAGTAAATAATTTCTCACTCTTCCTCCATGTAAATCAAAGTGAGTTTAACACACTTAGGACTTTTTTAGTATGTTTTTTGGGAGGGGTTTGAATTAGCTTGTCCAAATCTGGGTTTGACCCAAAGATGAGATTCAACATTCAATGCTGTCCATACTCATATCTGGTATGCGCAGGGATATTATGATAATATATTTATATTTAAATGACTATTGTGTCCCTTAACCAATTTATGTATTTGGAATATATAAGATATATGGGATATAAATACATTTATATGTTAAACTCATTAACTCACATATGAAACTTATTCCTTTGGGTTTCGTAAAATCCACGTATGTGGGTTTTATGATCGGGCCGGGTTTTAAACCTTGGACTAAATGTATAATTGCCAAAGATGGGTTTAAGGGGGTTTAATCCATAACTCAGAATCTAAAACTCTCCAAACCGTACATGTCAAACATGTCCTTAGGATTTTATTATTGGTTGATGATAATATCACCATTACATTCTAAAATTTATCAGTTGTCACTTATATTGCACACCCTTAATAAATTTAATAAGACAGAAGGTATGATTCCACAAAAAAAAAAATTAACTGAAATTTGAATCAAATTGTGAATCCTGAATGAGATAAGTCATAAGGCTTGGCAAAGATTTGAATTTCATGTTACAAAACACAACCACCGAACACAGATCATATCAAACACTAGCAAAATGCCTCGTCTTCCTCAATGTCCAGGCCAATGCCTTCTCTAACACGCCCGCAAAACCTGGTCCTGTGTCCTTTGTGTCCTTGCTCTAATGGTTCTTCTTCAAGCTTCCAAGCTCAATCTCCCCCTATCTTCTCTCTCCTCCCCCCAAATCACCTCTATCCTCTTTGACCCACCCTCTCTCTCTCTAGCTCTCAAGCACTCTGACTCCTCTTTCTCTCTCTACCCCTCCTTTTCTCCCTTCTCCCTTTCCACCCCTTGTCTACCCTCTCCCCAGACCCATATTCCCCCTCCCACCTCCTCGGCCACCTTCCTTCACCTTCGAAACGATAACCCTAATTCCCCTTCTCGCCATCTCTTCCTTACCTCCTCCCCTCTCTCTGGTGGCTCTGCCGTGCTTATCTGCTTCTATATGCTCCAGAAAAACCACAACTCTTTCACCAAAGCTAAAATTATTTGTAATCATAGTGATCTTAAATATGATGATAAGAAATTCGGGGTTGTTTTCGGTGTGAATCACGGGGTTTCGATTATGTTGGTTGGGTCGATTAACGTTTTTGCGATGTATTCGGCTTCAAATAGTAAAATTTGGGTGTTTTCGGTCAAAATCATGGATAATGAGGAGGATGGGGTGAATATGAAGTTGATCAAGTGTGCTCTGATTGATTGTACCGTGCCGGTATTTTCGATTAGTATTTCGTTTGGGTTCTTGGTTTTGGGGGAAGTCAATGGGGTCAGGGTTTTTCCGTTAAGGCCCCTCGTGAAAGGAAAGGTTAAAAAAACTAGGCGAGTGTGTAAGAATTTTAATGTTGGATTGGATACTGGGGAGTTCGATGGACAGAGATTGAATTTGCCCAATGGGGTAGCTCGGGAAGTCAATGGAAGTGATGAATTTGATAACAATTCAAAGGATTGCACAAATTGTGGAGTTGTTGGTCGTGGTACCAGAAGTATTGCTCCTGAAGGGACTGTTGAGGTTTCTTCTAATGGCCACCGGGAAAAAAAGATAGACAAGCAAGGTAAGTTTGTGAGACACGTGTGGATTGTCTTGCTGTAGTTATTTTGTTTGCAACAAGTTAGGAGTTTGGCATTGGTTTATGTGGAAGTTCTTCTTTAACCATTTGTGTACTAGGTGTAGTTTCAAAAAATTTTGGATGAGATTCTTGCAATGTCATGTCTTCAAACTTACATCTGTGTTGTTGAATTGTTTTTATCTATCAATTACCATTACTGTTCTTTGTTCGCTCCGTTCACTAAATCTTATTGCCAAAAGAGCACATGGCTTCTACCGAAGTATGGGCTGCTGTTTAGTTGTAACTAGCTTTCTCAGTTTTGTATTGCCTTGTTAGAACCTACTCTGCCTTGTTAATAGGGCTACGCATCCCAAGTATCAAACCTCATGTGTTTACTGCTTTCCAGGCATTCATTTATGTTTTAAAATTACTTTGGGTATCTAATGCTATGAGTTTCTTGTTAGACCAATAGTTTCACTATTTTTCACTTTTTTCCCTGCAAAAGACGTAGTCTGATAAATATTCCTACCACTATTTGGAGATGAACTCAAGGCAAAATCAAATGAAGGCCAAAAACTTGCATAAACGAGATGAATGAAAGAAAATAGAAAACAAGAAAAGATAATGGTCTAAGGTGGAGGATAGAGAAAGAGGAACAAAAAGGAATTAAATTAAGCTTAACGTTGTGATTACTATTATGGTCCTTTCTTACATTGCCTAGTAAGAGTGACCACTGACCTTCATAACATAAATAAATACTTATATAGTCGGGTGCACTCTTAAGGTAATAGCGTATGGCATGAGGATGGGCTTCGGTTATGCGCTCACACTTTGGCCATTATTACAGGATATGATTCTTCCTATATGAAAGTTATACCTGATGTAGTTTGGTAAATAATCTGACAACTGCGGCTGAAGATAAATAAAAAAACTCGTATTGAGGTTGAAAATTTGGGCAAAATCTGATTTTTGCTTAGAAAGCTTAAAATTCCATGACGGATTGAGCAACAAGGTATGCCGCTCAGAATTACCAAGCAAATGAAGCAGAATGAGAGGAACAAAAGGATTGTATACTTTTCTTTGACAATGAAGAATTCCATGTTGATGAATTAAAAAGAACTTCGCGGAGCTTGCTTATGCAGACATCTAAGAGGGATCAATAGCCTTGGGGACTATATATATAGCCTTAATATAATGAGTGGCAGCTTTAATGTAGATTCATCATCATCTCAATAAGATTGAGGTACAATTGTGCCCTGGAGTCTCTTGATCTTCACATCGTATGCTATTTCTCAATTGAACCATTTAGCTCAGCCATGAAACCAAGTACTGCCTCGCAATTGGTTACTCTTTAGTCCCTCTATCCATTGTATGAAGTCTGTCAAAACTATTTTTAAGAGCTTCCACCCTTAATGATCACCTTAAGTTCTGGCTTTTTAGTGGATATTGAGCAAAATGTGGAGGTACATTGCTGATCATGGTTCATGGTTGGAACTAAGCTTCAGTACGACTTGATAATAGCTCTTCATAAATGACATTTTCGACACTAGCTTACAACCTATCACTCTTCACTTGTTAGCACTTAGCTCGTCTTTGCCATCTTGCATGGCCTAAACCACTTGGACCATAATACTGCTGGCTATGTTTTTTTTTGAGCTCCATTTAAATTAGTGACTACAATCCATCTTATTGAAGTCTATGTCTTGGTGGGTGCTTGGCGTAAACTGTGAAAGATCTTATTTGCTTGTGCAAAATGAGTAGATCTTATATGCTTGTACATGATGAATAGGTTCTGTAAGAGATAAAAATCGATGATGAATAGGTTCTGTAAGAGATAAAAATCGATGATACCTCTCACTAAAGGTTGAATTTGATATTTTTGGTATAGAATTTTTCTGAACTTGATCTCCCAATCTTCTTGTTCTACAAAACGAACAAACTGTCAAAAATCGAAGTGTTTCGATCGAAGGCACTCCGATACTTAAGTCAGTAATGGAATAAAAATAATTGGTAGAAGATAAGGAGAGTTCAGCGTGGCTTGCACCTTGGCTCCTTTTGATTTTTATAGACCCTGTTCAGTTAGGGTTTCCATGAATTTCGATTCAAGGTGACACACCTTCTTCCAATTAAACGATTCAGTTTGGAAAGCTGCTGAAATTTCTTTGGTAGTTCCCTTGGCTTATAATTAAGCTTATTAGCTTATCTTGCACGCCTGAATTTTTTGCGAATCTTTATTCTTTCGTTTACTGTTTCAAAACAGCTTGGTCATGACGAGGACCGAGCTCTTTCATTACACACCGAACACCTTGACTAGGGCCGAGCTCTTTCATTGCTTGCCGAACGAATTGATTAGTTCGGCTAGGCATGTTTGTCTGATACTGGCCTCACGTGCTTTGCCTTGTCATCGTCATATGGGCTTATTTAATGTCATAACACGTGTAATAATGGGAGCCACTCCCTTCACGTTCTTTTGTTCCTCTTTTATTCCTACATTCCTCTTTTATTCCCACAACAACATTATAGATCTCCTTCACAATCTATGAGTTGAAATATGTGATATATAAGTGGGCAAAAATTCATAATCATGCCTATTATTTGGTACAAGTGCCTCCTTGAGATCATGTTTTCCAGATCATATGGACTACTAGTTAAAAGGTTTTCACAAGCTCATCAACATTGTCATATTCTTATGGAAGGTGATGACATCATACAAAAAGACTGTTGTTAATTTATGGAAAGGAATATACTCCTTTAAGGGTCTTCATCTCTTCCAATGTTTGACACCCTTTCTACCACGTCTTATATTCACTTTTAGTGTTCTTGTTCACCACATCCAGGAAATTGAGCATTTTTCTTTTAGTTTGGTGTTGCAAGCAAATAAGTGGTCAATCTTTGTCAAGCAATTTAGGAGAACTATGGTATTTATCTTCGAATTAATTGCACTCCTAATTTAACCCTCTACCCTCAGAACTTCTAATAATTCTATGTGCTTTCCTTCAAGATCCATGTTCATGACATTCTGTCCATGAGCACAAAATGAGAGTTAGATGTTCTGTCTCAAGGAATCATCCCGCCTTTACTTTTTCAAATCTCTTAAGATGTCTTTGATCTCCAATATACATGTTATTTTTTTTTCAGATTCCAAGATTGATGCATTGGTGTGTAAGTTGTAGAAGAGACTTTTCAATTGATGTTAATGATTCCCGTTCTTCTAGAATGGATGAAGAGGACAAAATTTATGTGTATATCGACAATCTTCACTACCTTGTCTCATTTACAAGAATAGAAGGTATTAATGACATTGTCAATTTGTTGTTGGATATCATCTTAATTTTTGTGCAAATCTTCAATCTCTCATCCATGGTGTTTGATCTTGTTGATGAAGTATAAATGCTTAAATTACACTCTCTCCAACAACTTAAGCTTTTAGAGTAGATGATTGTTTAATATGATATCAGAACATGAGGTCCTGGGTTCGAATCTTGTCGTCACTCAAATTATTAAAAATATTTTCATGTGATAGGTCCAAAATCTAGCTGCACATAATGGGGCCTGCTGAAGAAAAAATACTCAAATTACACCCTCTCCAACAGTTTAAGTTTTTGAAGTAGATGGTTGTTTAACAGATTTCATCATGACTTTGAATATTTATATCTTGTGCGGTTTGGTAAACATGGCAAAGAAGATAAATTTTGGCTGCTCTTCTACAAAAGTGATGTCTCCCAGTTGGTTGTCGAGTGACTACAATATAAAGTGTACCCAGATGAAACTAAAAATTTTGTAAGATTAGGCTTTTGTTTATAAACTGAAAATCCTGCAAAGTAGGCTTTAGATCCACAGCTGGGCCTCAAAGTTCAGTCCAATAAGGAAGAAACGAGGAATGATAGCAATGTAAAGATCTAACTAGACTTCTTCCAAAACTCTGCAGCCCTCTTTGTGAAACTTGATTCCCCATCTCTTGCACTCAAAAGTTGATTTTCCATCTTGATTGCATCAATATGAAAATACCTTGTGCTGTTAAGGAGCTTTAAAAAATGGTAGGAAATGAGGGGATATCATTAAGGAGTCCTCCAAAGAAACATAATGAAGGCTAAAAAGAAAACCAAAACAATTTGAAACCAACATTTACAATAAGAAGACAAAAAGGCAAACGGCTCCACTAATTGTGTAAGAACACCTCATTGGCAGTAGATCAAAGACATCTAATTATCACTTAGTTCATGTATACTGGGGAACTGGGGAATCTGACGTTTAGACATATAATCACATTCAACATGCACATAATGCTGCCTAGATCGAATGAAATGTTGTTGTCTAACTGGTACATTGCATTGACATGGGTAGAGGGTACATACGTTCTTTTATTAAAAAAAAATTTGGCAGTATTTATTGATTGCACATATTCATGTTTCTTCAATTCCTTCGGAACTTTTTCTTCAACCTCTATAGATGTTGAACTAGAATAGTGAAAGTTCCTCCTTTTGGTATATTTGGCTGATGACATTTTCTGTCAGGTTTTTAACTCTTTCATTACTAAACATTTCTAAAAAATCTGGCATAGTATACCTCAATTTCATTTTGGACAGCTTATTTATAAAACATTACACGAACTTGTGGTCATTTATATTTTGCTAGCAATGCACCACGTGCAACGCGTGTGAATAGTTTTTATATACAAAAATTAATAAAACATATTAAGTATATGTGTATTTGAATTAAATATCATTTCAAATTTAACAAACTTAATTTTTCATTGCTCATATTCTATTATATTCTAACTATTAAAAGAAAGATAAAGAAGAAGAAATAGTTAAAGTTATATTTTTTTAGAATTTTGTGATTGAGATTAATTTTTTAGTGATGTTTGGGAAATTAAATTTTTTGAAATTCATTTGATTAAGATTCTACTTATAATTCTTTGAATAAAATAAAAGTAATTATCAATATATATCTTAATTACATTGGAACTTTATTATAATTAGGAATTAGTTAAGGTCAATTGGGATAAGATTTAATATACAACTCTATAATATATATTATTAAGCATATTAAAATTCTAAAAAATTCAAGTTTTATTGAAAAATATACTACAATATCTATTTTTACATTAAATCTTAGTACAACTTAAAAAGTTAATTGTGATTG